AATATCAAAATGGCTTAATTCTTTGTGATAAATGTGAAGTGATTTGTTTACATTCTCAGATTGAAAAGAAGCAGAATAGGTTCCTAAAGATTACCTGCCTTTATAGAACCGGTTCCTGGAAATTTTGGATGCCATTATTGGCTATAACTAACCTGAAAAATACTTCCACAAAACATAAAAATAAAAAAAAGATTAAAAAATTCATTGATGCATATATCTTGTAATTTCAATGGAATTCGATAATTTTCAAATTTTTAGTAAATTTTTGAAAGTATATTTTCTTCACGTATCAAAAGTCTGCATGATTTTGAAGGTTTCGACACATAGCAGTTAAAAGAATCGCTGATCTTTTCGAAGGGACAGTTATCAAATATATTTGTCCATTTCCCAGATGATTGTCAAAAAAGAACTTAGGATATCCCAATTAAACAGTTATTAAAGAGTTTGAACTTCTGGTTTTCCACCCATCAATATGCAAAAAAAAAAAAAAAAAAAAAAACTATCTTGGCAAAATAAAATGGAAGCATTTTACATACAAAGGGAGGTAACGATTACACAGAATTATCTCCCCTGCATTAAAATAATTTCTATTGCAATGATTATAAGGTGAAATGACTGAATCGATGAAGTGAGTTGAAATTCAAGCCTTTTCATTCTAATGTTCATCCTATACACAGCTCAAGGGCCATTCGAGGTAAAGGGGTACGGAAAGTGGCTGTTGTATGAGCAGTTATAGTAAGGGTCGCAGTTCATACGTATATATGTCAAAGATAACGGTTAACCTTAGACTGGAAGAGGTTAAAATTGTAATGGTCGGGAGAGGATGCTCCTGGGGTTGTGTTCCACAAAGCAAAAGTTCTTGGGAAGATGCTATCCGAATGAAACTTGCTCCTTCTTAAAGGAATATGAATAGAATGGGGGTGGTCCGCCACAATGTATATGTGGTGGCTGGGAGAGGAACGAAGGAATGTAGCACATTAGTCTGAACATTTTCCAAGAAAATAGCGGTAGAGTTTCGCTTGTGGGAAAAGGGGTTGTAAGGTTGAAAGCAATTCATCACTCACAAGGCCGCGTAGAAGCAAAAGATTAATCTACTTCTTAGTTTGTTGTTTCCGCAGATTTCTTAGAATTATTATGTCACTATCATGTCACAATGATAGTGAAGTTGGATGAGTAAACATTTGGGGGAAAACACTCTCACAATTTACTTCTATGCCACGACAAGGAGATTTGAAAGCTGTTGACTATTAATAAAACTTGACAGAGTACAATCAAACCAAGCAGATATAAATGTGAGTAGCATCAAATTAAATCATCATCATCATCATCATCATCATCATCATCATCCCCATGATTGGTTGTGGTGTTAGGGTCACTGCGCAGCTGAACACCTGGTCAGTCCCCTCGACATATCGAAGTTGAAAGCGTAACGTGTCTTGGGCATGTAGAAATGGCCGAGCTAATCCTTAAGCAGGTCAAACCATAGCCGATGTCCTCCAACTTAAAGGCTCGTTTTGGTCACGGTGATGTGGATGTTGATTCCATCAGAGAAATCACTCACCCCTGGCGATTGGCTTTAGACAAAGAAGCCCTCCAACTAGTAATGCTGTGTCGTCACCACAATGGCCTCATACATAGCTATGAAGAAACAGTCTACACCGTTTTCCTAGATGGCCGTTGACACTACATGGTTTGTGCGATATTTAACAGGTCTTGTTTTTAAACCTCGTGAGTGCCTGGCCACTCTCCGGAAGCAAACTAAATGCAACTTCTTACGTATCTCTTCCCATCACATGAATAAAAGCAGCTTTTCTCGCACTTCTCGCTTGTAGAATTCTTTTCCGCCTACATACTTTGCAGCCAACTTTGATATTCAAAAATTTAACTGCAATGTCAATAATAATCTACTGCCTTCTTGATTAATCTTCTTCTATTCTTCCCGCCTCTTTAATAATGTTTCTCTTTTTTTCTTTCACACTCAGTAACCGATTGTCTTATTTACTTCCTTGCTTGGGATGAGATGATTTTAAAAAGGAAAAAAAAACTATGTTTGGCATGGAAAATGCGAGATGTTAAGGTGATGATCATCTGATGTCCCACGACAATCAGCTACAAATGGTGCGACAACGCAACAATTGTGACTTTCATACTGTTTTTTTTTCATTTAAATTATTATTCATTTATTTTAATAAACTCCGCTTTTTTATTAGTTCTGAAGTGCGATATCTGCCAGAAAAGTATCCAGAGTATGGGCAGGCTACTTTTATTTAACATCGAAAGACTGGATACTTTTATTTTAATATCGAAACATTGGATATATATATACTACAAGTGCGTAATGTCACAAAAGGAGTAATTATATATATATATAAGTGGATATTGAGTTCAACACCAAGGGGCGACAGAGTGTTGTAGCATGAAACAGACTGTCGCCTCTTGGTGTTGACTTGAAGAGGTCAAGATTAAAGTATTCAGAAAAGTACCTACGCAGGAGTTTGTTCCACAAGGTGGCACTTCTTGATAAAAAAATGTCTGCATAAAACTTCCTTCTTCCATTTTTGAGGAAATTAGTTTGATTCGACTCCGTGGAGTTAGCATTGCGTAAACTTTTCGAACAGAACGTGTTTGGGAAAAGCTTTCAAATTCAATGAATCTGTTTTTACGTAGTCTTGTCTTTTCTTCGCCGTTTTCCCTTCGTGTCGACGTTTAAATAATTTCCTCGTTCACCTCCCCCCACTTGTTCCCTCCTTGTCTTTGTCTTTCTTCCTCAATCTATGAAACATACAAGAAGGAGAGAGTAGACCATCCCCTTTCTGTCTCATTTTATCTTTCATCTTCCCACTTTTTCCCACCTTCACTTCGTCCTTTCTTCCTCACTTTATTAATCCTTTTATCTTCCTACGCATTATTTCCCTTCATTTAATTCCATTTCTTCACTTTCCTTTTCTCTCTCTCTCTCTCTCTCTTTCTCTCTCTCACTCTCTCTCTCTTTTCCTTCTCCTGTAATTGCTGATATTTGCACTCAACTAGGTTGCGACATAAACAGGTGAGAAAATTACATCCAATTTTAATGGACAGTTCCAGTTAGGAGAAAAGAAAAGTAGTTCAGGCAAAGACAGACAATCGAACGGCATGAAAGAAATAGAAGCTACCAAACAAGCTGCATCGAACAATCGGTGTGTGTGTGTGTGTGTGTCTGTGTGTGTCTGTGTCTGTGTGTTTAGACAACAAATGGCAGGAAATGAGAAAATAAACTACGTTTGATTATAAGAACAAAATTAAAATAAAATAAAATGTCAAAATAAAAAAAAAATATGAAAGTTCGTTAGCAAGTGTTAGCTCGCACTTAAGAGAAAATTTCAAACTCGATGGTAACTTTCTTTCTTTCTTTTAAGCCACGTCGAGTCTGGTCAATACCTAGATGGGTGATTGCTTGGGAACACCAGGTGCTGTAAGCTTGGGCGTGCAGGTGGTGTAATGGATCATGGCCCAGAATTGTTAATCGGGGTGTCAAATTCCACTTCCAATTAGGTTCAGTATATTCACTTACGTGTAAATAGTACCCCCTTGGGAAAGTATGTGGCCACCGCTCCTTCCCCCAGCTATAGGCTAATTAGTAACTCTTGTATTACTAAATCATTATTATATAAAAAAATGCTTACAATCTAAAAATATTTTCTGGTTTTAAATAACCTGAAAAGGGTTGATAAGCCGTCAAAAACGAATCAATGAATCAATCAATCTTGATTTCTATCTGTTCATATTTATCTATTTATTTGTCTATCTCAGTCTTTGTCTGAAGCAAGTACTTATCCAATTAGCTTCTGTTGCATAAAATTGTATAAATGGAGCTAATTAACACCGTGAAAGAATACTTAAAATAGAAACCTATATTTGGGACATCAACTCTTTGAGAGAAATAGTATATCCCAGTTCTTCTTTTTCGTTCAGGACGTGGGACATTCATAACGCCATCATAATTTCGTAGTTTTAAGTAATATTTGTCTTCTTACTACCAGTCCCTGTTGCATTTAAACACGCCCCTTAGGTAGGTTACTCAATGTTTCCTTCTTTCTCTCTTGCTTTCAGTGTGAATATCTTTCAACCCGTCTTTTCTCATTATCTATCACAGAAATTTCAACTGTATCATAACTCCAGCTTTTGAATATATTATGTGGGAGATAATTCGTCCTCTATCTCGGGTAGAAGATTACAGAGGTGAACACCACTGTAAAAAATATTATTTTTCGGTTGATCCATTCTTCAGCCCTCATCAAGTGGTAACCTCGAATGAATAATGAAACACATCTCCATTAACCTACATCCAACACATATAGTTAGAGGTTTTGGAGACAATCTTCGAAATTTCGATCTTCTCGCGAGGATGAGAGGGATTATACTTTCCTACTCGGAAATCGGGCGTTAATATAACATCCTGTCAATCGATTGTTTTTTTTTTATAAAGAGACACGTAAGAAGTTGCATTTAGTTTGCTTCCCGAGAGTGGCCAGGCACTCATGAGGTTTAAAAACAAGACCTGTTAAATATCGCACAAACCATGTAGTGTCAACGGCCATCTAGCAAAACGGGGTAAACTGTTTCTCCATTAGTTCAGCTGGATTCACTTTCAGTTTCATGAAGGCACAACCACCAAGTTCCTTCCACTTTAAATCTTCCTCGTTGTTCATATGTTCTGTCCATTGTATTCTCGGTACACTTCCTTGAAACCACATCTCTGTTGCCACAAGACGAACATGCAGGTGTAAACAAATAAGATTTTCTTCACTAAGCTACTGTATTTTGGGGACTTTAAATCACTTATTTCATAAATAGTGTTGATAGCTATGCTAGGCCAGCTGATATACACTTTAAGAAAGTCAGAGAGATCTGCGGCTTATACGTTGGAATAAAAACAATAATAAAGAGAAAAACTGCTGGAATTTTTCTTCTCTGTTTCATTATTTATAACTTTGTTAGTTAACTTACATTTTATTTGTCATATGTTTTCTTCTATTTTGAATCCTCTTGAGGCTTTTCTTTCTCACTTTTTTCTTTCATTTCTTTGTTTCGTTTCTTCCTGTTTCTATTCTTTCAATTCCTCACATAATGCTTCTAACTTTTCTTTTTTTTCTTTTGTGTTTAAAAGCCTTTTTATTCCTTCCTTTTTCTCTACTTCATTTCTCCATCTTTCTTCCCTGATTTTTGTTTTCTTTCTTCATGGTTTTCTTTACTTTCTTCTTCCTCTCATTTATTCTTTCATTTCCTCCTTTTTTTTATTTCTCTTTTGTTTCCCTCTATTAATGGTTTTGCCTTTCTTTCTTTTTCATTTAACTTCTCTTTCTTCTTTAAGTCGTTTTTCTTTAACTCTTTTTTTTATTTTTCGATTAATTACTTTTCTCTTCTTTCTCCATTCTTTTTTTTTTTTATTATTCTTTTATCTGACTGTCTTCTTAATCCTTTTTCTGGTCGTTCACTTTAAAATTTAAAAAGGAGAAATATATTTTCTCTCTGATCCTATAATTAACAAACCAACATTGGAGACGATGTCTTGTTTGCGTTCACCTAAAAACAACGTCAACATTTGTTTTAACATTCTACCAAAACAGCATCGTTTCTTATGTTGCCGCTTTTCCTAATATTAAATTTACACTTATAATGTCCACATGGATACGCATGCACCTAAGTATGTGGGCGGCTCAAAAACAAAGCGAACACCAGACGAAGCTAGTCTTAAATACTTTCACCGAAAGTATTTTTTAAATGACAAAAAGACACAAGCATGAACACACACACACACACACACACACACACACACACACACACACACACACACACACACACACACACACGGTGAAAGTTTACCACTTTTACGTAATCGGCAGCTCAAGTAATCCTTCAGAAAGTGCTGTTCTCAAATCACTTCTAACAGAGGTCAGTCACAGATGTCCATTGTAAACACCGTCGGTCGAGAGATGTTGACCCAAGTCTTCGTTCAACGCCAATTACGCTAACACAGAGAGATCTACTGCTTGAAAAGATCTACTGTCACATCACCTGGGTTTTGCTCTCATCTTGCACCTGTTCTTTTCAGTCCGGTCGTCTTTCGTTTAAGTTTGACCTGCGCAGAAATAAGCACAGAAATATACAAGTCCCAATGAACACGTTTCAATCCTGCCAAAAGCCTTATTCATACTGCAACTGATGCAATGTTAGAAATAACTTTTGAAGTTTTTTTGAAATTCCATCAACTTATCTAACGGAGGCAGGGTGGAGCACGGTGGACGTACGGTGGAGTAATGGATAGTGACTTGGATTGGGGAATCGGGGAGCTGAATTCGAATTTCAGTTGAATCCATTACATTCACTTACTTGGGAAAGGTATGAATCCTCTTCTTCTTCTTCCCCAGCTATGGGTAAATAGCAGGACAGACCAGGTTCTATAGCCTTGGATGGTAGCTGGACTAATGCAGAAAGAAATAACAAACTACAACGGGAAAAAAAAAATCTGCCTTGTTAGTCATGTATCGAAAGATACATGATCGCCTAAGTGTGTATCATGCATGGCACATGACTGACTGATGCAATGCAAATTAGAAAACGCGAAAAATTTGTACTTATAAGAATTCTTTTGGAAAAAGTTATAGCTGTTTGTTGGAAAATTATAATTTTAAAATTGCTTTGTAGCAAATGTCTCACATGCACCTAAATCCCGATAGGTCATGCACTCTCCAGAAACACTTCTACATATCGATGTCTTCTTTTGAAGTTCCTATTCTCCTTAAAACTTTCTCGTTTACTGTTTATGCCATTCAAAGTGCGTTCGTTGGTAGTACCGTATCCTTGTTGCTTCAGTGTCTCTTTTTATCCGTGAAAATATCGTCCAATATTCGTTGCCATAAATGTGATTACACAACAGTTCATCGATTTTTTCCTTGTTTCTTGACTGGTATGAATCCACCTTTTCTCCCGTCAGCTATATGTTAATTAGTAGAACTTATATCATTAAAAATAATTATTATCAATCCAAATTATAACAATCTAAAAATATTTTCTGGCTTTAAATAACCTGCAATAGATAAATAAGATGTAAAAAGAAATCAATCAATATCAATCAATACTGGTGAAGAAGAAACATGAGGTAGCAAAGTGGTTGTGTAGAAGTGTACTGAGAATACCATGGACTGAACATGTGAGTAACAAGGAACTAAAACTTAAAATCAGAAAGAGATTGTTGATATTTCTAGGCGCATAATGAGAAAAGAGAGCTTGGAAAGTTTGACGCTCACAAGACGGAAATAGCAAGTAACAAGCTTTTGTAAATGGATGTCTGAGCGGGCAACGGAGTGTGAGAAGGGACAGTGAAAAAACGAAACTTACAAAGAGCTAAAAATGATAGGAAGTTGTGGAAAGCCACGATCGCATTCTGTCGTCTTAAGATTAATAGCTAGACATTGGTTTTCTTCTTATCTAACTGTTCTTACAGTTTTCTTTCTTGGTTTGGTCTCCTCTTCTTTTATGTCAGGTCCCAGGAAGAAAAAAGTTAGCAATCATGGCTCTCCACAATTTTCTGATTATGTCTTTTTGTTATTTCTCCTAAACCTTGTTCCACCATCCATTTACTAAGTAGGTTATGCGTTGTTTTCTTCTGTCCTCCTTTGCCTTCAATCTGTCCTATGAGTATCAGATTTTCCAAGCCCTCTTTCCTCATTATGTGCCCTAGAAATTTCGACTATCTTTTCCTGGTGTTAAATATGTGTCCTTTTTGTTTCCATTTTCAGCGGTGAAATAACCAAGAATAAAGTTTTACTTGTTGTCAGGAGATTTGAATGACTGAAAGTGTTTGAAGGGTATAGAGTGAAGCGTATAGCGTGCTGCTTATTATTCAACGGAAGACATATCCTTATGATACGGCCAAACTGACGTAGTTAGTCCAATTAGCTTGTTGGCCACGTATTTTCTAACCACGAAGTCTACTCAAGAGATTCTCATGCGTTTGTGGTTTGCCTGTTGAGCAAACAGTGGGATTTACATCGTTTTTTTTTCAAATGGCCTTAATCTGGGAAGATGATTTGGATAGTTACAATAAATGATTATTTACTTAGAAACAAATTGCTTTTCACGAAAATAATAGAAGGATAAAGAAAAGAAAGACTAGACATTTATAAGATGCTCTCATAAAAAAAATCGTAGATGTCTCAATTTTTTCTTAGTCCTGTGTTAGTCACATGCGGTATTTTGTTAAGGCAACTTTTTAAAGTACTCGTATTTCCTAGTTGGCAACTTGTTTCTTTCGCTCCCTCCCACTACTCTCTCGTCTCAGTGAGGGTGCGTAGCGCGCGGTGTGGCGTAGTTGTAGTTCAGCTGTTGTGGAAGGTAGACTCCGGTGGACTATCTATTTGCAGAAATCCAAAGTGACTAATGGGGGGGGGGATTAAATATTTGCTAGGCACTAGATTATCATTAAATGACAATTGTTATAAAATTTTAACTTTTTCAACTTTTATAAAAATAAGTAAAAATAAAAAACTTGGATAGAAACAAAAATTTAAATTTAGAAATTTCAAATTTCAATATCCCAACATTTTCCGCGTTTCCTCTCTACGGATAATTATAAAAAAACGATTGCGTTTTTTATATCCCCCCCCACTTCATACCCAGCAAAAGCAAACATTTTAGTACGATGAAGTCCTAAAGAACGAAATGCATCACACAATTTTGTCTTTCCACTTTCTCATTCGTTTTTCTAATACGTATATATATATGTGTGTGTGTGAGTGAGTGAGTGAGTGAGTGAGCGAGCGAGCGTAACGTAACGTAACGTAGCGTCCCTGTTTCTTTTCTATAAATGCTTTGGTAATTGTTCAGATGAACTTTCCTCTATGGTAAATAGACTTGATGAATTTAAGCTCAGTACTAAATGGGCGACAAGGTTTCATTATTTTACAGCTGAAATGACGATATGTAGAACTCTCTTTCGATTTTTTGCTTCTCAATCAACTTTGATCTTCAAAAATGCAATGTCAATTATTATCTTCCATCTTGTTAAATTTTATTTTTTGTTATCGTCCTCTCTCCTTAATAGTACGTTTTTTTTCTCATATTCTATAAGACCCAGGAACCACTTGCGTCTTAGTGGTTTTATTGCTTTGCTTGGGGTGAAATGATTTTAAAAAATAATAAAAACACAAATGAATATTTGGGTTTTTAGTTGTTGTTGAAAACTCATAGGATTTTAGATTTCAGTTCTCTCTGTGAATTCATGCGATTTCTAGATTTTGTCTTGATTGACAAAAAAAAAAAAAAAAAACTAAATCCAGACTCACATAAGTATGTGGTCACAAATGGGACACCTAGTGCTTTTTCACAAAGTCTTGGAAACATCCATTGCGGAACACCAATACTCCTCCAAAGTCTTGTTTACAAATTGCATTTCAAGAGCACGATTTGTCCGCCACTGTTAAAATGGTTAAAGGTATCAGCAAAAATAAATTTGAAATGTTTAACCATTAAAGTCTAAACATTTAAATTTATTTATTATTTTTGCTAAATTGCCAAATCCAAGGTTTTACAGGCAGACATATGCGGATCGCTATCAGCAGCAAAGTACCACGTTTTGACAAAATCATAGCCAAGAAACAGGAACCAAAAATCCATTAGATTTAAATTTTACATTTTTTATGTGAATTTCTTAATGTTAGATTTCAGTTTTTTAAAATTGTTTAATTTACACTTAAATTGGGTGAAAAGCTTATTTTTGGTATCTAAGTTTGTTATAACGGTTTTTTTCTTCCTTTTCATGTCATTCAAAAATTAGCTTAAATAAATCTGTTGCTCAAATTGAGTATAAATTGCCTTCTTCATCTTCATATGAGATATTTTTTTTGTATATATATATATATATATATATATATATATATATATATATATATATATATATATATATATATAACGAAGTGAAATCATATTATAAGTTTTCTAGGTGTGCGAGACATAGAAAAGATTGGGAACCCCTGATCTAGTCGCATGACCCAAACAACAAGCCATTATTCTTTTGCCATTATCATTCATACAACAGAAACTGAAAAAATCGCAGCAAATTTCTTTCTCCATATGATATTTTTGTATCCTTTTTGTTCTTTTAGGAGCTGACAACCGACCCGGAAAGAGAACTGCAGACCCCACCCCTGGACCGGGCGAAAAAAAAAAAAAAAAAAAACTAATCATCAATTGAATATATGGTCATCAACAAGAGAAAAGGTCCAAGAGGCCAGTGACGAATTGGAGATATTAATATCAAGCAGGTGCCGAAGTTTAAATATCTGGGCAGTGTTTTAACAGACGATGTGAAATGCGACACCGAGACACGCTTAGGACTAGCGAAAGAAGCATTCCAAAAACTAAGCAAGCTGGTGGGAAACAGAAACATTTCGTTGGAAACAAAGAATAGTGCTTGATTGCTATGTGATATCAACCCTTTTATATGGCA